TCATTTGTCACAAAAACGCGTACACACACACACACACACACACACACACACACACACACACACACACACACATACAAATTATATGGCATACAATACTGTTTAGAGACAGACACCTATTCTGTGTCTAAAAATGACAACCTAAAGAACACAAAAAATATTATTTTTACGCCTTTGAACATTGTATTAATGTCCCCCCATGGATCAAAAAATGGGAAATATTTTGCAAGTATTTTAACTTCATAATATCCTTCAGCTAAAAGAAACCCATCCAGTGTTGTAGTGCTGAATTAAAGTAACAGTTCCCCCAAAAATGAAAATTTGCTGAAGATTTACTCAACCTTAGGCCATCCGAGACGTAGATGAGTTTGTTTCTTCATCAGATTTGGAGAAATTCCATAACCAAGCTCACTGCAGTGAATGGGTGCCGTCAGAGTGAGAATCCAAACAGCTGATAAAAACATCACAATAATCCACAAGTAATCCACACCACTCCAGTCCATCAATTAACATCTGGAGAAGACAAAAGTGGTGTGTTTGCATAAATCAAATCTATAATTTTATCTTCAAATCAGAACTTCCATCTTAAATATGAGTCCATAATCCATAATATTGCTTCTTCAAGTAAAAAAAGTGGTCTGGTCTGAATCAGGAGAGAAATCTGGACAGATCAAGCACTGTTTACAAGCCAAAACAGCTCTAAACAAATATGTGGGTGGATTTTGATGTGAGAAACAACAGGAGATGGACTTTTTCACTGGGGGAATTGTTATTATGGATTATGGACTCGTATTTTAAGTAAAACATCTTAAAGATGGATTTGTTTCAGCTTTTGGCTTCTCAAGAATGTTAATTGATGGACTGGAGTGGTGTGGATTACTTGTGGATTATTGTGATGTTTTTATCAGCTGTTAGGACTCTCATTCTGACGGCACCCATTCACTGCAGAGGATCCATTGGTGAGCAAGTGATGCAATGCTACATTTCTCAAAATTTGTTCTGGTGAGTACATTTTTAGCAAATTTTTGTTTTTAGGTGAACTATTCCTTTAAGTGGCGTGCATCTTGTGAATTTATCAATACCAGCACAAGCAAAACCATACAGCCTTCACATATTCATATCTGAATGCATGAAATATGAGATGTGTAAAAAACACAGACCTACAGCATATGGATGTACACGCACACATACACCTTGATAATAAAACCACATGTTCACATGGTCAAAAATAGTGTAAAACACCACACAGTTTCATATGGTTTTTTGTTTACAGCTGAGAGACTACAATCATCACTGTCACCCGTCTTGCATCAGGGTTATGAATATTCATGATAAAAACTTTTGTTTACTTCTTCATTAGTCCAACTGTTAGCACGTATTCCAGAGGAGCGTGACTTCTGCTTCTTAGTTCTCGAATGTTTTGACATGAGATGTGAGTGTTGTGGTGCGGACAGAGAGCAGAGACTTCTGGGATTTTGCCTGAAGCGTTGATGTTCTCTCTCACTCCGAGATCACTGTAATACTGCTTCATCACAAGCATAAAACACATGCAAACAGCTAAATATGCAACTGCACGTCAGCAAGAATTCACTGCATATTAAAAGTGCTAGTATTATCAGCAGTCAGAATAAAAGAAATTAAATTTGAGGAATTTTATCAGAAATAAGACCATCAAAAATACACTACAGGTCAGAAAGTTATGAATATTCATGATAAAAACTTTTGTTTACTTCTTCATTAGTCCAACTGTTAGCACGTATTCCAGAGGAGCGTGACTTCTGCTTCTTAGTTCTCGAATGTTTTGACATGAGATGTGAGTGTTGTGGTGCGGACAGAGAGCAGAGACTTCTGGGATTTTGCCTGAAGCGTTGATGTTCTCTCTCACTCCGAGATCACTGTAATACTGCTTCATCACAAGCATAAAACACATGCAAACAGCTAAATATGCAACTGCACGTCAGCAAGAATTCACTGCATATTAAAAGTGCTAGTATTATCAGCAGTCAGAATAAAATAAATTAAATTTGAGGAATTTTATCAGAAATAAGACCATCAAAAATACACTACAGGTCAGAAGTTGGGATTAAGATTTTTAATGAAGTCTCACCAAGATTGCAATTATTTGATGAAAATACATTAAAAAGTGAAATATTATTACAATTTAAAATAAGTGTTTTCTATATGAATATACAGTATGTTAAAATGTCATTTATTTCCGTGATCACAGCATCATTCCTCCAGTCTTCAGTGTCACATGATCTTCAGAAATCATTCTAATATGCTGATTTGCTGCTCAAGAAACATTTCTGATTATTATCAATGTTGAAAACAGTTGTGCTGCTTCAAATATTTGTGGAAATCTTGATACATTTTATTTTTCAGGATGCTTTGATGAATAGAAAGTTCAAAAGAACAACATTTATTTGAAATCGAAAATGTTTATAAATATCTTTACTGTCACTTTTGATGAATGCATCCTTTTTGAATAAAAGTATTAATTTCTTTCAAAACTGACCCCAAACTTTTGATAGCAGCAGCACAACTGTTTTCAACATTGCAAATAATCAGAAATGTTTCTTGTGGATAAGCATTTTAGAATGATTTCTGAAGGACCCTGAAGACTGGAGTAATGATGCTGAAAATTCAGATTTGATCACAAGAATAAATTACATTTTAACATATATTCACATAGAAAACAGTTATGTTGAATTGTAATAATATTTTGCAATTTTTCTATTTTTACTGTATTTTTAATTAAATAAATGCAACCTTTGTGAGCATAGTTTTAGTGTGCCTATTTTAGAATACATTAAAAAATGTTTAGTTAATCAATGATGGGAGTTTGGAATGGAAAACATGGATTTTGAATTTGTGCTCAAAGCACAACTACAAAATTCATACAACTTACAAGCCCAGAGGTAGAAGTTAAGTTGATTTCAGATTTGAACATTTGTGAACTCGTTTCTAATAAGGCACGATCACACAACAGAAGCACATGTTATTTGCGTGCGAACGCTCCAGCTGTACGTTGCGACTGGGTTCTGTAAACAAATGTTCCTGTCAGAAGTGAGCCATGGGCTAAATAAATTACACCATGCTGCAAACTTACACAGAGCTGTTAATTGGCAAGCAGTTGATTAAAATGCAAA